AACGTTTCGACAAGGTTTTGTTCCTTATGATGACAAAAACCTTGTCGAAACGTTGTACATTTGCTGTTATATTAAAGTTTTTCTTCATTACCCATTCAAGCCGTCTCCAGCCATTATTAGTCTCAAAGTGGGTTCCTCGTCATCGAATTTATCATATGTAATTAATAGAATATATATTATTTATTTAGTCATAAATATGTATTACCGTTTAAATATCTAAATCAGGATTGATAGAATACGGTTAGTAAGTTAAATAGTAAATCTTCAGTTGTATGTCAACTGGTTCTAAAATTAAATAAAAAACCATTATCTATAATCGTCTATTTTCAATACTAATAACCTGACATGAGATGTATTTCTAAACATTCTGATATCCCAGAAAGTTTCTTAACATGGCTATAAAGGTCTTATGACGTAGAATTCACAAATGAGTAGAGTGTGATATATTTGTTACCTTCTTATAGGCGTAGAGGTTTCTATAGAAAGACCGTAAAGCAGTTCACGTTTAGGGAAATACTTCCGTTACATTATAAGATCTAGTAGGTTTTACGTGGAAGGCTGGAAAACAGTTCTTTTTTTATTATTTGGTCGTAAAGATTAAGCTTTTTCAGTAGTGTTTAGAGTAAAGGGAATTGATAGCCCATCTTATTTAACGTTACTTATATTATTACTTGTGGACAGTATGTGTTGATCCCCAAGTGACTCAACGGTAAACTTGACAGCTTATAATGCTGAAATTCAACGTTTGGTCCCTACACGGAAATAACATAGATAGCCCATTGTGCACCTTTGTGCTAAAACAAACAAACTATTTATCTATATGTTGTTAATTATGCACAGTGGGCTATTTAAGCTATTCCCACTGCGGGTATTGAAACCCAATTTTAACGTTTAAAGCTCTCAGACTTGTCACCGGAGGGGAATGAAGCAACCAAATTATGTGTAAGCAATACTTATTTAAACATGTGTCAACAGTACTCATTTAACTGTGTGTCCATAGTAGGTATCTAATCGTTTATAAACCGTATTGATGTGTCAACGGTACATAGTTAACAGTACTGATCTAACTACGTGTCAGCGGCACATATTTAATTTTATGTTAACAGTACTAATTTAACTATGTGTCAACGGTACATATTTAATTTTATGTTAACAGTATTAATTTAACTATGTGTCAACGGTATATATTTAATTTTACGTTAACAGTATTAATTTAACTATGTGTCAACGGTACATGTTTAATTTTATGTTAACAGTACTAATTTAACTATGTGTCAACGGTATATATTTAATTTTACGTTAACAGTATCAATTTAACTATGTGTCAACGGTACATATTTAATTTTATGTTAACAGTACTAATTTAACTATGTGTCAACGGTACATATTTAATTTTACGTTAACAGTACTGATTTAACTTTGTGTCAACGGTACATAGTTAACAGTACTGATTTAACTACGTGTCAACGGTACATAGTTAACAGTACTGATTTAACTACGTGTCAACGGTACATATTTAATTTTACGTTAACAGTACTGATTTAACTATGTGTCAACGGTACATAGTTAACAATACTGATTTAACTACGTGTCAACGGTACATATTTAATTTTATGTTAACAGTACTAATTTAACTTTGTGTCAACGGTACATGTTTAATTTTACGTTGACAGTACTGATTTAACTTCGTGTCAACGGCACATATTTAATTTTACGTTAACAGTACTAATTTAACTTTGTGTCAACGGTACATATTTAATTTTACGTTAACAGTACTGATTTAACTTTGTGTCAACGGTACATATTTAATTTTACGTTAACAGTACTGATTTAACTATATGTTAACGCTACATATTTAATTTTATGTTAGCAGTACTGATTTAACTATGTGTAAACAGTACATATTTAATTTTATGTTAGCAGTACTGATTTAACTATGTGTAACAGTAGATATTTAATTTTATGTTAGCAGTACTGATTTAACTATGTGTCAACAGTACTACATATCTAAAGCATTTATAGCACTTAAGCAAAACAACATTAGAATTCTCCTTATCGTTATTATTGTTATTGATGATAACACTTCTCAGCAAGTATGTTTCTATTAAACATGTTTACCCACGATGCTCAAACGCATCCTTATCTTTATTCTTATTCAAGAAGAGTGTGATGTGTCTGTTAAGATATTCACACATTTCTGAAATTGGCTATTGTAACTTGGTAATCCGTGGTTAAGTGAATGTAGTTTAAGACTTATTATGAAACACACATCCTACAGATTACCAGATTTCTGAAAAAACATTTGTACTGAATTATCAGTGCATTTACAAAGTGTACCAAACTCTTCTTGTCTCGCAACTCAAGTTCGATTCTATCTTCATAAGATGGAGAATTTTACATTGTTTTGTGTGTAATATTTTTTATTCATTTCCCAGTTATGGTTACTAAGGGATTCGGGCAATATGATGTATATTAAACATTCTACATTACAGATTAATGTAATTATTAGATGATTTGCCACATATACTTATCGTAACACTGTTTGGTTTTATCACCGTTACATTATATTTTCATGGTTAATTTATGCAGAATTTAAGCCTTACTCTTTATTGCTTTTATTAGTGTTATGTAATTTAAAAATATAGACTTGTATAAAAATGTATTTAAAAATCCTGAAAGCAGTTATTTTCAATAAAGAATTGTAAAATAGTTTTGTAAGCTTCCATTTCTGTTCCTTTGGTTTAAATATCGAGAAAATACATATTAATATGTTGTAAATAAATTATTTTTTGCTTATTGAACAGCTGTTTTTTGATAGTTTATTTTTTATGGATATTATAAAAGTTAATACATTATGACACCTATATTTCTTTCGAAAAATATATCAAAATAAGGGTTTTATTTTGGGGGGGGGGGGAATAGACAAAAAATATTACAATTAAAAATATTCCACAATAGTATCTTTAAATGGGTCACGAAGAAACAATGAAGTTAAAGTCATTCATTTGTGGTGAATGATATTGTCACAGACTCTAAAAAACAAAGTTTTCATTCAACAATAGTAAGTTTTAGTTTGACAGATAGATATTTTTATTTTTAAGCTAAAAACATCCGACTTTGATCATTAGACTTGTGTAACTCTTATTTCACCCTTCATTCCTTTACTGAAATATTTCAGAATCAGAACTTCTTGTATTTTTCTGTAGCAAGATAACAGAAGACAAAGTTGTATTCTGATTAGTATTTTGAGTTTCTCCCATTTTGTTGTGTTATAGTTATAAACATTATGGATCATTTCTCTTATGTAAATTTATAAATTATTATTGTAAATTAATTGTATTTAGTTTTTATTTCAATGTAACATTTGTGTTTTATAAAAAAAATCCAGGTTCTTTGTGGGAACGATCAGTACGGTTTTGGTAGAAAGAAAAGGGAAATTCCTGATGAACTACCTTCAGATCCAAACAAGATGTTCGAAGTAGAAATGACAGCTTTTTTAAAGGTGGATTACGATAAAAATCATTTCTCTGGAAATAATGGTTAGTATTCTTCTTCCGTTCCGAAACATTAAACTTTGTTTTAAAAGATAAAGATACACTCGTTATTTTACGAATATTATAACAAAATGTATATAAGTATTTTTATAATAACCCAAAACCTGGTACATTTTTATTTCTCATGAAACCTGACCATTAAAATCTTGTTAATTTAAACAATAACCAAAAGGAACAATGATATATTACGCGTGAAAACAAAACCAGTTAACTATAGCTTGATGATTAAGCTGAGTACAATGTTTATGGTAAAGTGTCAGACCATAAACAAGACCGTATTGGGGTACTCTCTGCTCTGATTGATAAAATAAAGGCGTACTTAAAGCAATTACACGTTATGGTAACCCTAAATGTGGTTGAAGTAACTTTACAATGAAATTTTGAAGGATAGTTGAAACTGCTACGACCTAATAGTTTCTTTATATTGCTTGCAATAAATTGGTTGTGAGGTATCTTGAAATTTTAGTCACACCCTCTGAAAACTCGCTAAAGAATGATTTTACTGAGAACCGTAAGATATTTAATTTTTAGTTTTCTTCCATTGCCTGGAGATCGACAGATCACTTGTTCTCAAGAACGGAAACCCTTGCTGTATTCATCTGGAAAAAATTACGTGTTAAGTAGTCTCGTTGTAAAAGAAATGTTAACTAATAAAACTGTTCTCAAACATAGTTTATAATTTCACAGTTTTTTAACTTTTGAAAAATGTACTTTAAATAACTTTGCTTGTTTGTTGTTAAACACAAAACTAAACAATGGGCTATCTATGTTGTGCTCCCTGCAGATATCGAAGCCCGAATTTTAGCTTTATAAACCTTCAGACTTACACTGAGCCACCGAGGTGTGGGGGTGAAACAAGTTGATATATGGTAATGGTGTTATAAGTTCACATTTATTTTACATAACTAGAACAAAAAAGTTAATATATAAATTGTTTACAAAATATTTATCTGTACCACAGGTTTGGGGTTATTATAAAAAATGCGTATTTAACACACTGTTTAAGTGGACATTTTGGTAGTTAAAAACAGTAAGTATGAGTATATTTGTAAAAAAAGGTAAAACGTAAACATAGTTGGTATCTGTTTTGATATTTCTGATTGTTTTTTATTGTATGCTCTTAAGTATCTGAAACTAAAACGACACAGTTTGTGGTGGTTAGTCAGTATAGCTTATCTTCTCTTAGGACAACTATCAAGTTCGTTTGATAAAGAAGAGAATCAGATTTCGGATAAACCAGAAACCAACCAACTTCCCTACGTTCAAGGCGTAGGTTCAGGTTCAACTAAGATATCATCTTTATCTGCTGTCATGATTCTTGTTACAACAGTTATTTCTCTGACACAATAACGGTGTTGTAACGTTGGCATATACCGTCTTTGGATTTTTTTTTCTCATATGTGTTGCACATTACCTTGATCACAAGACTCTTATTTTTCAGCAGAAATGAGTCATGGTGGTGTTCAACTAAAATAATTTGCTGAGGATGGTGCTAAGGAATTCTGCCGCTGTATGGTTTCTTTCGTCTTCCTTAAGGGTCTAATTACCTCTGTGAAAGGTTTTACAGTTTGTCGCTATCAACAAGAAAACAGAGATTCGGAGCTTGTATCAAATAATGGCAACTTGTCTAGATGGTATACTCTTCTAGTGGGTGATTTCATCTCTTACGTTGGTATAAAAACTGTATAGTCATATTCAAGTGTTATCAGATTCATCAATTAAGGCTTCACAAAACCCAATTTTACAAGATATGCTTATAAAAACTGGAATCTTGAAATTATGAATTAAACAGGAAACGTTTGAGATATTCTGCAATTGATGTCCTCTGTGACACTGGTATGACTTTCTTACGTAAGTTGATTTTTTCCAATCGTATCTCTGTCTAATCTAAAATAAAGTACGTATCATGGAGCTGTTTACTAAGTTTTTTCGACGTTTATATCACTCGATAACATAACTCAAAAGTTTCAGCAAAGAACTGTAACACTTTGAAAATGTTTACTGACCTAAAAGCGTTACGTTATCTTTAGTATTATGTTCAAGGTTTAGAAGAACAGTAAATTGTTGTAAAAACCAGAAAATAATGCAAATACTTTACAAATATAGAATTGCTATAAATAAAGTTAAAAATCTTCTCCAAACAAATACGACATTCTAGTGAATATAATTATTTTCTTTTCGCTCTTATCTCCCTTCTTTCAGATAACATTAAAATATTAATGTTCCAAACAGAACTTGAACTGATAGTTGTTTCCATGCTAGATTTAATATTTGTATTGACTAAAAAATACATTTATCATAATAATTTGTCTTGTTAACGACGGCAAATTACACTTCTTAACTTCGCAAATTTGACTTGTTAACCATGAAATAAGTACGTTAAATTACACTATTTTAATACTTTTCGAAGTTCTTACGATTTGTCCAATTTAGTTAGAATAAAACTGAACTGAAGTTTATGCGCGAGATGAAAATAAAAAGAGGAGGTTTCATAATTTCAATTATTGCTGAATTTAGAAAAATACATTATTTGTACTACAGAAGAATGTTAATGCACGATTTTAGGCTGAAACTGAATAATTGAAGGAATTATTTCTAGATTAGAGGTTATCCATATCTGTTATTTTTTAGAACTTAAGTAAGTAACCAGAAAGTTGATGAGGTGGATTTTTCGTAAAGGTAAAATTCGAAGAGCTGTATGTGGTCTGAATATATATTGTTATTGACTTTTTAAGAAGCCCGCATAACACTATCATATAGTATTACACTCAACAAATCTTGCTTGTGATATATGATAGCCACAGAAAGTATCATCAGATAGCAATTGTGTAATTTTTATTGGTACTTTAAAAAAATCAGTTACACTTTCAACTGTATCATATATATATATATAAACATTTATCATAAGCGCTTTATTGTATTTCTTTAGATATTTTTAAATCTATAACTGAGCAATTGTTTAAAACTAAAATTATGTAGACTTTGAAGACGTGTTGAAGGAATCACAAGAGTTTGGGTTATTATTTCTTTCTTTTTTTCATTGCTAATTAAAAAAATGTTTTAAACAACCATAGAAATATTTCAGTTCTCCAAGTTCCATTTATTATTAACTTGTTTGGAATCGTACTGATGAAACGTCTGTATTACTGCTTACAAAACATAAGTTACTTCAACTGGGTTATTATGAGTGGGTTTAAAGTTTTTGACAAATTGGGAGAAAATGGATAACTTTCATTTAGTGGAAACTACTCCTTGCCTATTTTTGGAAGTACTGAATGATTTGTTGTATTGTGCAAGCTCTAGAAATAAATATTTCTGGCTTAAATAAGTTTTATTTGGCATTTTGTTTTCAGCTCCTGCACACAAATACACTGACTCCTAGACCAAAAGGATGATATGTTGTATGTATTACACAATAAATAGACAAAGAAAAGGGTTATGTTCTATTATCGTTTTGAGTATTCATATATCTTTTAAGGTATGATATACACAAAATGATATTTTTCTTGAATTGTATTACCAAAGCTTACATTATGCGCGTTCATTCGGTTGAAACTATGTATGCGTAACACATTTTTTTAAGATGTAATAGCACTGTTTTCAATTTTTAGTCTTTTCTTCATCTAAAATAAATCCAAGATACGGATATGATGGATAGTTTAATTAATTATAATAAGTAAATAAGTATTTTAATTAATATGCAAAAACCACCATTCACCTTCAGATATCATTTACACTCTTGAAAAAAATAGTAAAAATAAGTGAAAAATGTTGACGTTTCAAATTTTTCAAAAATGAAATGCAGAAAATATCTATATGGAGAATTTTAAATTTCGTGTATTACATAAGATCGTGTAAGAATCTAAAATAAGTAACAATTTGGCTAATAAGACTTTCGTAAACGATGGTAGAACAACCAGGACAGGAGAGCATAAACTAGATTTATAGTTATTTCTCTTGCAGTAATGTGAAATAGATGTGTGCGAATGTTTTCCTTGCTATTGACCGTGTCCAGTATAACCACGGGTAACTCATTCCGGCTCGGGGTTGAATGAGTTTTCTCGCTTGGATTGTTATGTGGGATTTGACAAGAACTTCGAAGACATTGGAGTTGGCAGATCATTAGACGGAGAGTATGGAGGTCACTGGATTCAACCACTTGAAATAATATGTTCAATTCCGATATAAAGGGGTCTCAGTTATTTTAATTTGGAGTCTTCTTCTTCTTTGCTTACGTCGTTTCATCTGCAACGTCCACATACAATTGTTTAGTGAACAAAAGAAAAAAATATTTTGTAGATAAAACATTAGATATATAAACTTTATCATATTCAAAGGAAGAAATACGTTTTTTTTTATTCAAATACATAGTTTCTAATAATAGAAATTTATATTATTTATTGAAAATAAGACATCTGCTTCACAAAATGCTTTAATTTTCGAAGTCACTCAGAAACAAACGTAAATAGTTTTATCAAAAATAACACTTCTTTTGGGTTGAAACTAATTCACCGATAAGTTGGCATACTTATATCAAATAAAAAATTTATGTAATCCATTAATAAGTAATTCATTTCTTGTGGATTTATACTGATCAACTGGTAACTTCAATTTTATAACACAATACTCCTGCAGACTTAAATACATTTACGACTAGTCTATTTTACGGTTTCAGTGGAATGAGAAACGATTATATATAAGTTACTTTGTTATGTCTGACAAGTATCCATAATTGGTACACATACACAAATATAATAGTAGTTTCATAATGTAATTTGTGTTGAGCCCAAAACAACTTCTTTAGGTTTTTAATATAAAATAGACTATTGATAAATTCTTCCTTTTAGATATGACCAACATCACATATAACATATACTAACTGGTAATTTAGCTAGAATTAGTACAATTTCCCATTGATTATTTTTTGAATATGTTTGATGATAAACAAAAAGATAACGTTTAGGATACGTTAGAGGAATGGCAACTTTTATGAAATGCTTAACTTTATTGTCGAGGAAAGATAATTATTAATATCACACATGTTTAAAACGTGTAAATTCCGGTTAGAACAAGTTAATGCCCGCATACACCAATATTCCACATCTGCGTTTGATATTTACAAATGCCTATTTTGTGGAATTTCCGCAATGCCGTTGTACAAAAGAACATAATTTAATCAAACAAACAAAAAAAAAACGATAGTCTTCAATATACCATATCAGTGCCAGTTATGCTCTAAAACCAGAATAAAACAATTTAAAATTTGTAATAAAGCTTATTATATGGTGAACAAAGAATGCCAGCAACATAAATCCTGATTGAGGACAAGCCTGTGAAGTTGACAATAGCTTACTACAGCCAGATCTAATAAGGATTTGATGTCTGTGTGCAGGTTATCCGCTATAAGAAAAGAGCGCTTTTATTTAAAGGGTATCCTCTTAGAATTCGAGCTGTATAATGGAATCTTGCGATATTATAATAGAATTCCGGGCATCAGCATCATAAAAAAGTAACATTCGAACTGGTGCCACCTAGCTATGACAGGACTGTCAAGTTTCCCTGCTGTACGTGTGTCGATAAATCTCACCAGCTGCCCTCTATAGAAGCTCCTTGTCAAGTCCTTCATACACTGTTGTGTTTCTGGCATAGCAAAATATACAATTAACTCCTGTCATTCTACAAAATCATTAAGTGGTTCAAGTACTATACAACCATATCTGTTACACCGTTAAGGATCATAAACATCAATAAATTATTTTTGCACAGTGTAACAAAACATATAATACTCTGGTTCCTCTAAAACAACAAATAGTCCAACGCCAAATATATGTAATCAATTGTTTTATAAAGCATGGAGGGAACATTAAACTTACGATTTTTTTAGGTCAATGGGTTTCTTAAAATCAACTAAAACCTATTCATGATTAGACAAAACATAATTAAGTTACAAATAGTTATACGGTACAGTTAAGAACAAGAAATACTATGACATATTTCTGTTTTTGAAAATGTTTACATTTTAACCACAATATCTAGTATAACGTTTTTAATCCGGCAACAAAGCTCAACACCACTGTTGTTGTATAAGGTAAACACACACGTAACAGAACATTTAATTTTCCAGTTGCTTACTTTGATTATATTCTATCCTTACTCTTGTGAGCATAACTCCAAAAATCTCGGAAAAGCAAAACGTTTACGTACAAATAAGGTTTAAGCTAAAGAAGTAAAGAAACGAAATTGTGCTGTAAGGAAGATGACCAAGAAATGGCACACGTAATTTACGTCCGCTCCCTAAAAATAAGAACTCATAAGAAGACAAATGATGATTGATAGCAGAGCTAAAGATCCCACGGCGTATTCTTACTCGTACCTAGAATTTCTTGATTTGTTTGTTCGCATTTCGCGAACAAAAAAAAAAATCATGATTACCTAATGCGTTTCGTGCCATATAATGCTGAAACATGGGTTACCCACAATTCATGTGAAATATCTTAACAATTTTTTTTATAAAATAACAACACCTGTTTTTTACAAGTACAAGGTGAATATATCTTTATGTTTTTTTTAATAATTTGTATTAATAATTCTGTAATTTGTATTTCATGTTTGATTTCTACATCATAGCAATGTTGGCCGAATCTTACAATGCTGCCCCCCCCAGTGGCACAGCGGTATGTCTGCGGACTTACAACGCTAGAAACCGGGTTTCGATACCCGTGGCGGGCAGAGCACAGATAACCCTTGTGTAGCTTTGTGCATAATTAGAAACAATCAAACAAACAAATCTTACAATGCCACATTGCTATTTTTCTGCCTCTCTTTGTTTTAGCTGTTAGTTGATTCAAGACGACAGGACGTTTATGAAGTTCACATTAAATAAACATTTTTCACTACCTCCTGTGTGCGTTAGCTCTCAACAGTCCAGCTAGGTAGCTAATGATTAATGTGACAAAACCCTGAATCCGAGTTCCCGTTTCCTACAATAGCGCACTCCGCACTTTAAGGCCAGGGTGCGCTAAAAGAATGACAGGCAAATCCCACTAATCGTTCTGAGTAGTCCAAGAGTTGGCTGTGGGGGATGGTGACTAGAACTTTCCTTCTATCAATTCAGAATTAGGGGCTGCTATTAGAATGTAGCCCTTGTGTAGCTTTGCGCAAAGTTTCTGAAGCAAAGTAAATCAATGGAAAAGAACTTTGTAATCAATCATTACATCAGTGAGATCTCTGCAGCGTTACTTGAAAACTCAAAAATTATAATTTTTAAAAGAAAATAAACGCCCCCCCCCAGTGATACAGCGGTATGTCTGCGGATTTACAAGGGTAGAAACCGGGTTTCGATACCCCTTGTTGGGCAAAGCACAGATAGCCCATTTTTGTAGCTTTATGCTTAAACAAGAAAATAAACAGCTAAATGAAATTTAAAAAAAATTTCTTTGGAAAGGGTCTACGTTCAATGTTTGAATCGAAGTATTTATTTCGTCCAGAATACAGTACCAATGAACTTGATCCTTCAACATCCTCTCAATTCATGGTTTTCGAGTGGAACTTGATGCATTGTGGGAATGGAAGAACGTATTCCTTTTTCTTATTTTGTAGGAAATTTATACGTAAAACATGAAGTTGGTAATTTTACAGAGATTCGATCCTGCACCAAGATAACTTCGTTTTCTTTATTGGGTTTTAATTTTTCTTTATCTTCATAACAAAACTAGTCTTTATAGGGTTTTTTATTATCTTTATCTGAACATTGAACCTAGTATTTACAGGATTTTATACTTGCTTTTTATCTAACTGTATAAATTAGTGTTTATAGGATTTTATACCTTTCTCAGTCATACGATTAAATATTGTCTTTAAAGTTTGTTTTAGTTTTCTCTATCTTACTATAAAAACTAGTT